AGTTTGTATTTCACTGTGTATTAATGACATGGAACATTATTTTCTTATGTCTATTTGGTGAAATGTCTATTCAGACCTTTCGCCCTTCTCTTAATTATGTCTTCTGTCTTTTTATTATTCACTTGTAAGAAGTCTTTATTCTGGATAGAGGGCTTTATTGGATATATATTTTGCAATTATTTTCTCCCTGCTTGTCACTTATCTTTTTGTTTTCTTAATAGTGTCTTTCAAACAGAGTTTTTAATTTAGATGAAATCCAATTTATAGATTTTTAATGGATTGTTACTCTTTGGTACCATATCTAAGAAATCTTTGCTTAACCCAAGATCACATAGATTTTCACTGTCATTTGCTTCTAAAACTTTTATGTAGTTATAGAGGTTTTACATTTAAATTTATGGTTGATTTTGAGATAATGTTTGTACATGGTGAAAAGTATAGGTTAAGAGTTTTGGGTTTGTTTCTCTCTTTTTCTTTTTTTTTGCATATAGATGTCCAATTTTTCTAACACCATTTATTTAGAAGACTATCCATTAGTTTGCCTTGGCACCTTTGTCAAAAATCAGTTGACCATATCTACTTCTGTACTCTCAATTTTATCTTTTTTATAGTGAAACTTTTTTATTTTTATTATTTTTATTGTATTTTTTCCCATTACCATTTAGCCCTTTATAGCCCACCCCCGCAATCGCTGCACCGTCCTCCGTATCTGAGTCCTTTTTCCTTTCGGTTTGATCCCTCCACCCCTAAACCGCCCCGCCCCCATAGCTGTCAGCTTGCTCTATCTTATTGATATGTGTATCTAGTTTTTTGCCATTTCATTTACGCTGTGATTTTGTTTTTTTTATTTACAACATTCCCTTAGTTTCCTTTTAATGTCTGCAGGCTCCTTAATGAGGTCCCACTTTCATTCTTGATATCAGAAATTTCCCTATGCTCTGTTTTTAATGATCAATTTAATCAGATTTATTAATTTTATTGATATTTTCTAAGAACCCATTTTTAACTGCCTTGGTTTTTCTCTAGCATATTTCTGATTTTAATTTCATTGACCTCTGCTCTTATTATGTACTTCCTCTGCTTCTTTGGCTTAAATTTGTTCTCTTTTTGTGTGTATTTATCAAGGTAAAAGCATAGGTCATTGATACTTGTATTGATATTCTAATACAAGTATTCAATGCTGTATATTTCCTTCTAATCTCTCCACATGTGTAGAGTAGGAAACTTACAACAGTTTTATTTTCATTTAATTAACTTTTAAAAATTTCCCTTGAGATTTTATCTTTAACCCATGGATTATCTATGTGTTAATTCCCAAATATTCAATGGTTTCCCATTGAATCTTTCTGTTACTGATTTCTAGTTTAATTATGTTATTGTCAGAGACCATACTTTGTATTGTTTCACCTCTTTAAATCTGTTAACATTTGTTTTATGACCTACTATATGGTCTATTTTGGAAAATATTCCATGGGTATTTTGAAAGACTGCATATCTTGCTGTCAGAGGGTGTCATTTTCAGTAAATATCAGTTATATTCTACTCCTTTCTAGTAGTGCTTACTTCTTGATCCTTGCTGATTTTCATTAAGTGGTTCAAGCAATTATTAAGAGAGGGGTGTTGAAGTTACCAACTATAATTGTGAGCTTTTCAAGTTTTCTTTCAATTCTATCAGTTTTTGCTGCCCATATTTTGCAGTCTGTGATTTGGTATATACACATTAGGATTGGTATATATTCTTGATGAATTGACCCTTTTATCATTATATAATGTTTTTTATCTGTCTCTGCTAATTATCTTTTCTCTGAAGTCTACTTTATCAGATATTAATATAATCGCTTCAGCTTTCCTTTGATTAGTGTTCGTTTACATGGTATATTTGCTTATTCTTTTACTTTTAACTTATTTATATCATTATATTTCAAGTGAATTACTTATAAATAGCATATAGTTGGGTATTTGTTTTGTTTTTTTTAATCCTCACCTGAGGGGGGCAAAAGACAAATACCATATGATCTCACCTATAAGCAGAACCTAACCAACAATACAAAGGTGCAAGGAAAATAAGACCAGCAACACTGAAAGGAAAAGAAACCAACAGAGACAAGAGGGAAGGAGGGAGGAGAGGCGGGGGGAAAAGGAAGGGAAGGGGAAAGTCAAGGAACATACAGCAAGGACTCATGGACAAAACCGAAGGGGAAGAGTTGAGGGAGGGAGGGAGGGAGGGGGCAAGGGAAAGTGGTGGGGGGTAGGCAGAGACAAATGTGTTTGAAAAAATAAATTAATTAAAAAAATCCTCACCTGAGGATATGTTTATTGATTTTAGAGGGAGAAGAAGAGGGGATGGGGGGAGAGAGAGAAATATGGATGTGAGAGGGAAAAGTAGATTTCCCACACGCCACTGACTGGAGATCAAACCTGCAACCTAGGTATGTGCCCTCACTGGGAAACAAACCTGCAGTCTTTTGGTGCGCGGGACAACACTCCAACCAACTGAGCCTCACCTGGCCAGGGCAGATGGGCCCTCATTTATAAATCTCTCTTTTTATTGTTGTGTTCATACCATTTACCTTAATGTCATTATTCATGTTAGGATTTAAGATTTCAAATATATTATGTGTTTACTGTTTGTTCTGTTTTTTATTTTTCCTGTTTTGTCTTTCTCTGCATTTCTTGAATGTTGTAGTATTCTGTTTTAATTTATATGTAGTAGGGCTTTCTGTAACACCTTTATTGAGATTCACCACACATACATATCATATATTCACCAATTTAAGGTGTACAGTTCAGTGGTTTTTGTATATTCAGAGTTGCACCAATGTCACCACAATTGATTTTGGAACAATTTCATTACCTCCAAAAGAAACCCTGTATCCTTAAGCCAGGACGCCTTGGCCCCTGCCCCCAACCTTAGCACTAAGCAAGCACTGGATATAGGGTTCTGGGTTGACAGCTGTTTCCTCTTCTCCCACCCCCGCACTTGAGAAACACTATGTCATTGCCTTCTGGTTCTATAGATGCTCATGAGAAATATACTGTCATTTGAATTCTTCTATAGATGTGTTGTTTCTCTCTGGCTGCTTTCATGATTTTTTTCCTTCATCTTTAGTTTTCAGAATTGATTCTGACTGAGTCAGCATGGATTTCTTTGGGTTTATTCTGTTTGAACTTTATTCAGATTCTTAAATCTTTAGGTTTGTGCGTTTCACCAAGTATGGGCCATTTCCAGCCATTATTCCTTCAAATATGTTTTCAGCCCTCATTCTTTTTCCTCTTTTTCTGTGATGAGATGAATGGTAGATACTTTGTTATTGTCCCACAGAGCCCTGGGACTCTGTTGATTCTTTCTGTTTCTGTCTTTTCTATCAGTTGTTCAGATTGAATAATGTCTATTGGTCTATAACAAGTTCAGTGATTTTTTTTTCGTCTCTAATTTCTATTCTACTATTGAGCCTACTCAATAACTTTTTAATTTTTTTTATTTGGTTACTTATTTATTAAATATTTACCATTCGAAATTTGTCATTTGGTTCATCTTTTATATTTTCTTTCTTCGCTGAGACTGTGTTTTTCCTTTTGTTTCAGTAGTGTTCATAGTCATTTGTCAGATCATTTTTATCATAGTTGCTTTAAAAATCCTTGTCAGATAATTCTAATATCTGTATCATGACAGTGTTGGTGCCAGTTGATTATCTTTTCTTATCTAAGTAAATGTTTTCCTGGCTCTTGGTTTATCTAGTAATTTTGGGTTATGTCTTGTATATTTTGTATATTGTTATGAGACTCTGGATCCTACTTAAATCTCCTTTTTTAGTAGACTGACAATCTATTTAGGTCTGAATGAACATTGTGTTCCAATTTTGTGGACCATGATTCAAATTTCAAGTTATTTTTCCAAGCTTTGCAAGGCTTTTCACATCGCTGCTATGCTAGCCAGGCCAAATTAGAACCTGGGAAGTATTCCACCCAGAGTTCAAGTCTGAAAGGTTTTTCCACTGGGATTCTGGTTAGTTTCACACAAGAGCTGCTCAGAGTTGTCCACAACTTCATGTACCTATTTAAAGAATTGCTTTCCTCAGCTTCCTCCTCTCCGCAGTACTCCCTCATTCTCTTGTTTGGAAGGAATAAAATAGCACCTCATTGCCATCCTTTGCTTAATTTGGGTCACAATGGTTCTTGGTTCATAGCAGTGGCTGCAGTACTCAGCCAGGAGGAAAGGAATTGCAGCCTCTCTTGCTCTGTGTTCTTTGAGTAGAGAAGGTACAGTCAAAAGAGTTCACCCCTACAGTGCTACCCTCTCTCCAGTGACTGGAGAGAGTAGGCATCTTGGCGAATTTTGTGTCTGGGCCCATAGGTGTTTTTCGTGGACTACTTTAGCTCCCAGACTGATTCTACAGAGGCGGCAAAAAAACAAAAACCTTTAGGGAACTCACCACCAGATTGTTCCTGGAGTTTCATAGTTCTCTAATCGGTCTCTCTTCTTTTCTCTACCTTTCATATATTTTTCCTGGGGTGTTTAGTTGTAAATAGCAGGCAGATCATGGCAGTACACACTTGCTCTGTATTGTCTAAAATGGGAAGCCAACCAGGATTCATTTTTGTATCTCTCAAAAACGTACCACATTGCCTACTGTAGGGTCTGCACTAAGATTCTGTTGACAAAAGAAAGGAGTGAAGGAGGAAAATTAGTTGCTTCATATCTCAAAATGTTAATTTAGCGTAACACAGTAGTTAAGAATATGGCCTTTAGAATCAACGGTCACTGTGAATTTTTAGCTGTATCCCCTACTTTCAATGTAATGTAAACAAGGTACTTCTCCAAGTTTCAGTTTCCTACAATAAGGGATGGTAATACTTATCTCATGGGGTCAGTAAAAATGAGATAATGTATTTAATGTATTTAGCACAGTGCTTCATAAACACTCAGTAAATGCATTTCCTAATCATATTAGTAATAACAACAATTGTCAAATATCACCATCTGTTTCTTTTACTCATAGGAAACGCTGCCCTTAAAGACAAAGAAGATCAATTTGGGAGAACACCACTGATGTACTGTGTGTTGGCTGACAGACTGGACTGTGCAGATACTCTCCTGAAGGCAGGAGCAGATGTTAATAAAACTGACCATAGCCGAAGGACAGCCCTCCATCTTGCAGCTCAAAAGGTGAGATGTAAAATTACTTTGAAGTATAAACGTTTTGTGTGATAGTTGTTACTTGGTACATGGAACTGTGCAATGGATAGATGATAAAGAAATCACAAGTGTGTGACTCTCAGTTTCATGTTTTCTCTACAAATAGTCTTAAAACTGCAGATAGTAAAGCACAAATAACCATCAGTTGCTCCTTTCACTCATCCAAGTTTCTTGAACAATAGACTTTATTCTATGATTTAAGGTTAAGTCAGGGGAAAGGAATAAAAATTATATATACAATATGGTTGACCTGTATTGCAAATCGATTTATGCATGGAAAAAAGCAATTAAACAAACAAACCAAAAAAACAAAAACAAAAACAACCCTGAGATGTTAATAATGGTTGGGTTTAAATATTGGGAATATTAGGAATTTTTGGACTTTTCCACTGTTTAAAATTTTTTGCTTAATGAATACTACTTTTGCAATAAAAATCTGCAGTCTCCCTTGAAATAAAGGGCTTTTAGGGGGCATCAGAGAAACTTATTTTCTGAATATATTTTCAGCTTTTTAAAAATCTAAAACTATATTGCCTGTTTAAATGATTTCAAAAAATAAAATGTGAAGTTTCAAATTTATTTAAAGGTCCATGTACCTGATAACTATTTTCCCACCATAAAATTTTGGTCTATAAAATATATTTCTAATGCCTGGTGTTTTTCTTTTTATTCTTTTAGACTTATGTATTTTTAGTGTGTAAAAAGCAATAAAATTAGGTAGATCAAGCAGAAACTAATATTAGAGTTATTTCCCATGAAAAAGTGAACCAGATATAGCATATTAATTGAAGGGTTAGAAAAATACCATTTCATTAGTTGAATACATAAAAAAAGACTGACATTAAAATATACTGCTGGATATGCTAGTTCTATGTTAGGTCTATCAGGTTATTTCCAATCTTACTGCTCTTGACTTTGCTTTTCATTATAGTAATTTTTTTTTTAAATCTCTCGGATTTTCAATCTCACTTTTAACTACTACTCAGATACTTATAACCTTTCACCTAGGCTTGTCAGCTGTTAACATTATTCATTCGAGAAGGGTAACTCCTTTTAACTTATTTTCATAAAGTAAACATATCAGATGGAGAATAGCCCCAATATTAAGAATTTGGTAGATTTTTTAAAATTGTGATTCGTTTAGGTTTAAAACTCAACTTCAAAAATGTTGATTGGAGGAACCTAACTTAATATCAGTGGATCATGGGAGGGAAAATGAGTATTTAAGTTGATGATCCTACAGTGAGACATTTCTGTAGAGGTATAAAATGAGAGGAAAGCACAACCGGCCATGCTAGCTTAGCTGCCCGTCTCTTCACAAGATGTAGTGCCTTGTTTTCTTTTGCTCTTTGTTTCGCCTTTATTTTCTTAATTGTGATTTTTTTAAATGTCAAGAAATAAATAGAACTATGATTTACATGTCACAATTTACATAGCTGACTTCATAAATAACAAGTTTCATGTTCTTTTGGCTATCTGATAATTATGCATTTCCCCATCTCTGTGTTGCAGTTTGTTTTTCTATGTTGCCAAAAGCAGTAATATATCTTTAGGCAGTACTAGCATTAGTGGAATTTCCAGAATAAGGTTGGTAATAATTCTTTAGTACTCTGTCTGTGCATATCAAACCTGGGTATTGTGTTTGATCTTGTGCTTCATACAAAAACACCATTATTAAGAAATCAAAGTTTGTTTAGATCAGGCAGGAATAAAATGGTGAAGGGCCTAGAAATAATTTTCAAAGAATAGTTGTAGATGATATATGTTCCAGGTCTGTAGCACACCCTGCCTCTGAGCAGACACGAGCACAAATTCTCTTCAGAGAAAACATCTTCACCTTAAACTTCTAGGATTCCCTCATATTAAAATAGATCAAACATGATCCACAGTGAAACACATGAGGAAGCAATCTACCATGAATGAGAGCAAAAATGATAAGCAGATTTATTCCATCAAAAACATTAGCTATTGCTATCATTAAAAACACAATATAAAATAACAAGTGATGGAATGTTTAAAGATAATAAAAGAAGAAATCAGAAAAATGAGCAACCAATAAGAAACTTTCACAACTAGGCATAAGTTCTGCCCATGACTGCTTATTTCAGAATAACCCATCTACCAAAAACATCTCTCAAAACTGAATAAAATATATACAGGACATTGTTTGAAGGCATTGAGAATAATCAGCATAAGTACGATCCAAGAAACTGCGATCATTCAGAGAAGGGAAATGGGTGAAATTAGCTCCACATTTATTCTCACTTTTTCCTTAAGGAATTTTCTAAATTGGAGTTCAAAAGAATACAACCTAAGCAGGAAACTGTAATATTTGTAGGCTGAGAAACACAGACAGAGTTTGGAGTTGGCAGTGGCTGAGTCTCGAAGGGCAAAATCCTGGAGAGAAGGGAACTGCAGAGAAAGAACTCAAAAATCTGGGTACAGACTCCTCACAAATTATTAGCAGATTCCTAAACTGTGCTTTTATAGGGTAAGGCTCTCAAAACCCATCAGTAAACAACAGCTGGGAGACTACAGAGCTAGGCAGAGACTGTTTTAAAATTATACTATATTTTCTTTCCTATTCAAGTCTTTTATGATATAGCAAACAGATTTTTGTGTAGGGATCCATCCATTATCATTTTAAAACATATGAATAACCAGTTTTCTCAGGACAACTTAGCTCATTATTTTTTATCCACTTAGTATCTGTTGTGGACCCATGCCAGGCTTTTGTACTATGTACTTCACATGCGTTTTTTTAATTATTATTATATTTTTTAAATAAAGGGTCCTGACCACTAGGGAACCACCTAAGAAATACAAAAATAAGTTACATGATCACAGTACTTAAAGGGGACTAATATAGCAACTCAAGCTACTTTGGAAGAAGAGAGTGGAGTTACATAGAAAGTTATATAGGGAGGAGGAGGAGTTGGACCCAAGAGATACATTCATGGAGGTAGAACTGTTCATTCAGTAAGTAGTTACCAAATGCCTACTATGTAGTCATGACTATATACCTAGAGAGATTATTAGAAAATGAATCACATATGTCTGCTGTAATTAAGGATTGTCACTACTGAACCTCTCTGATGTATCAGATTTCAAATATTTTCAGGTATTGCCTATCCACTGAGTTCTGTTAACTGTGAACTCAGAACTGTGCCATTTATGTAATCATCAATATTCATGTATATGTGCATGCATTCATTCATTCAACATGTTGAAACTGTTATTGTATAATAACAGGTACTGTGCTAGACCTTGGAATACAAAAAGGTGAATGACCTGATTCCTGCTCTTAAGATGTTTACAGAGATCATGGATAAATATATCAAGCGATAATTAAAGTTGGCTTGTCTACCTTACAATACTGAAGTGTTTTATAAAATATCAATAGCCATGACATTCAAATAGTCATTGTTATTATTGTTGACCGGAAGAGCAACGATTTTCATATGTTTTTTATGTTTTTGCTTTTTTTTTTATAGTAAACTATATTATGGGTTGTTTTATTTTTTTAATTGAGGCTGGTTAGCAGTAAAAACTCATGTTCCCACCGTGTTCTGTTCATATCTCTGTCAGAGCCCCATTGTCTTGTACTGTTATTAGTACTCACTCGTCTCTTTCCCACTAGATTAGAGCTCCAGGCAAGAACCTTGTTTTATTTATTTTTGAATCCCCCCAGAATCTAACACAGTGTCTGACATGTCTTTGTTGAATCAATGCATATATATTATGTTACTTATATTGAAAGTTATTATCAATGCAAATGCTAGACATTTTGTTTATTAGAAACATTCATCTGCTTTCAAAATACATGTATAAGAAAAACTTATTGAACTGTGGTGATTGGCTTAGTTATTTTGACACATATTCACTTCTCTGGAAACAAATTGTTGTTAGTCCAAGCAGCTAAAGTAATGGTGTCCACGAGAATAAAAATTAATCTCAATATACTGAACATCTGCATCTAATTTGTTTTTCATTTAGTACCCTCAGTTTAATCCAAGAAAGCAATCAGTCATACCTTTTCTTGGTTTCTCACAAAAGATATCTAATTGTTAGAAATGTTTTGCTCCAGGGAAGCTACTATTTCTCTGACTTCCACAGATACATTTATTGTTAATAAAGGTAAAAAAACTTTGACAGTATTACTAAATGCTCATAGTTATGCATTTTTAATCTTCCAGGAGGTTATTAATTTGGCTTCAAGAAGATTAAGATTATCCACTTTGAAAAATTATATCATGTTAAACACAAAAATTAAAGAAGCTTCAGGCTATGGTTGTTTTTTTTCTTTTTTAAATCACAAACAGAATTCTCTATTCATCAATGAAAACTGAATATTAATCTTTAGTTTTTAAAGTATGTTGTTTCCATGTTAATATTTACAAAAGTTAAAGGACCAGAGTAGAATACCTCTGAAACTTTTCAGGAAAACTTAATATAGTATTAGGTTTCCGTATTTTATACACACTCACACTTACACACATATACACCAAACAATCCACTCCCCGGCCCCCCTAACTCTGTATTCCTGTAGTCCCCCTCTGTGCATATAGCCCCCTAGCATTACTACTTCCCTACCACCATTAATCAGAGATTTCATTTATCTATATTTCACCGCCACTAGTGCTATCTGAGGGGAGAGGCCATGTCTTATTTGACTTTATAGTTCCAGCCTTGGCACAACTCCTACCATTTAATACTCAGCTAGTGTTTATTTAATGAATACATGCATGAAGGGATGAGTCAGTCAGTAAATAAATGTGAATATCAGATACATTTATCATGAATGGTATGGTCTTTAAAGCTGTTAAAGTTTAATAGTTATATTTATTCCTTTTCATTGTTTGCTCCATCATCTTACAAGTTTGCATGTAGGATTTTACAGGACTCTGTGAGCTTAATTTCTCAGCAAATATCACTCTTCTATGCCTCAATTTCTTTATATATAAAACAGG